TAAATAAAAAAATGTTATTATAATTTACTTCAGTTTGATCTTAACTATTCGATTTAATTTTATTTTTAATAGAAAATTAAATAATTTTTCAATTTGGTCCAATTTTTATTATATAGAACCAGAAAATCGAAAAGTCCTAAAATTCAATTTGATGTAACCTAAAAATTAAGTTAAAATTAAAAAATCAAATCAATTCGATTTATTTTTTTTACATATATAAATTGGATTAGTTCAGTTTAGATTAAGTACGCGAACCTGATTATAAATTAGGTATCTGAACTTGATATTGATTGTAAATTACTATGGAAAACCATTCTAAATCTGTATTTTCACTATCCGAACACATCAAAATAGGATCGGATATCCATCTGCCCCAATAAAATCATATTGTTATCCCTAGTCTAGATAGAATCACTGCTACTGCAAATCTTTTTTACTTCATTTGACAAAATAAAAACCAGCTGCTGGTCCCATAGTATTATCTATTTACTGAGAACTGATACAGATAAATGCAAAAGCAGAAGATGTTCAAAGTTATCATTACTACAAGTACTCCGACTGACAGAAACTAAAAGAAAAATTGCACGAAATCATAGAAATTGAATTAGCAGTTTCTTGGCATTTACTTTTGTACAACATGTGAACCTGCAAATTATATATATATATATATAGAAAAATGTAAAAATAAATGGTGGGTGTGAAAGAGAAAGGTGAAAAATCCAATTAAGGTCTTCATGCAATTTATGTTTCTGTAGATGCACGTACCCCTCACATGGCAGAACAATACCTTTTTCATTCCTATAACACTAGCACTCTGTACAATCTACTGTTTTAGAAAGTGACACTCTATTTTTCTAATTTATACAGTATTTGGACTCACAACCACTAATTCCTCCTAATTAAAAGGGTTTTGTTCTAAGAATATATAAATAGTTTTATTACATTCCATTACGGTTCGGCAGATGTAATCTAAAATTATTAGTATGGTCAGTATTAAGTTGATTTGTAATGTAATGTTATTATTTTAAAGATCACTTTGACATCGTAGATGATTGTTTGTTTGAGCTGAAATTTGACTATTGAATTTGAATTACCAGTTTATTAAGTTAAATGATTAAAAAGTAGGATATAATGTCATTTTATAATTGTAGGGAGCAATTTTATATTTTGATCTTATAGGTTATATAACTTATTGAATCATTTTCAAAAACAAAAAATTTTTTAGACAAAATATGGGTTGCAAATTTATACAATTAACTTATTGAGCTTAGAGCAAAAAAATATTTCATTTTTGTATGAATAAATAGATTGAAAGTCTATTAAGTTGTTGATAAGGAAAAAAAAAAACCTTTATTTATTAATTATGATACCTTTAAATGTGAAACTACTAAGTGAACTTATAATAGAAAATTATTATCTCTGTTCCAAAGTATTTATCACATCTGTGGTTTCAATGAATAATAAATATTTTTTCTATATTTACTCTTTGTATATAAGCAATAATTATTACTTCAATTTAATGATTTTTTTAAAGAATTAGAATTAAATCAAGGGTATTATAGTCAATTTACTCAATAATTTATTGTAACTTAGACAAATTTAATGATTTTTTTAAGAAACGTGAAATTGCAAATGTGATATGTATTATGGAACAGATGTACTAATATATACTCCCTTTGTTTATAAAAAGTTTTTGCACGGTAATTAAGGACTCCCTCTAAATGTGAATAGTAACAAAATGTTAATTAATTTGATTAAAACTCTGTTTGTTTCCGAAAAATAATTTGTTGAAAAATAATTTTCAGAAAAATAATTTTCATGAAAAATATTTTACAGGAAAACACATTATTTTCCGACGCTTGGCTTTACATAAAACATTCTTGGAAAATATTTTAAAACATTTAATATAACATTAAAAAATTTAATTTTCCATCATATACATAATGTATTTACACCTATTATATTATTCATAAGCAATCTATATTAAATATAAATTTAATAATTAGATTTTCTATTCAAAATTTATTCTCATAGTATAAATACTATGATGCTGATTAATTTAGTCTAATAATGTGATTTAATTTTTTTAATTAAATTATTTAACAATACAATGTATATCATGTTAAGATAATTTAACAATATATAAGTTTAAAAACAATGTATATTCATTTTGTAAGATAATTTAAAAATGTGATTTAATTTTTTTAATTAAATTATTTAACAATACAATGTATATCATGTTAAGATAATTTAACAATATATAAGTACTATAATTACTTTTATATATGTATATTAAATGATATGAGCTTTAACATATTTAAAAAAATATATTGTTAAAGTAATTTAATGATTATTTTAAAATAATCATGTTGAATGGTATGGACCTATCAATAAATTATTTTGAATATTTCTTCCAAAAAAAGCCACAGGGCACATTTTTGACACTTCCAGAGAGACTGTAGGCTCACAATTGCAGTTTTTCACAGATGGAGTGTTCCTTAGTGGACCAAAAAGACTAATTTTGGATTATGAAATAAGTTAGGAAAATGTGTTTCCACGTAAACAAGGGTAAGTCATTTTCCTTAATTGCTACCTTATTTTCCAATGGCCAACAACTTATTTTTCTTGACTTATTTTCTTTTCATGTCCAAACAATGGAAAAAATTATAGAAAATATTTTACTACAAGTTATTTTACAGAAACAAAACGGAGCCTAAATTACTCTTTATCTCATATCATAAGGATGATTTTCAAAAATTGTAGATATAATTAACATTTTTAATACATACAAAAGTAAAATAGAAAAAATTTCATTAATTATTCATTGAAATTTTCAAAGCGATAAATAATTATAAAAAAAATAATTCTAAAATGACTTCTATTTAGAGATAGAGAGATTTTTTTTTTGTTTTTTTGAAAATTAATGTCCTTTCAACGTTTTTGGCTGGAGGCGTTACAGTTGAGTGGTTGGTTGGAGTTAATAACGGAAAAAGAAAAAAGAAAAAATTGAGAAGCAGTCGAGATTGATGTGGAAAAAGTTAATTAAAAGAAACAAACATGCTTAATTTTCAGTTGTTCACACTTAGGCCCTATAAATGAATGCTGGATAAAGAAGGGGAACCCTGTGTTGGACAACAGTTGATCTGTCTTCGTTTTGCCTTTCTTCAGATGGTGATGTTAATGTTTTTTAATAATAAATTAATAATAATAATATTTTAATGTTTCCAAAGATAACGAGAAAATACTATTTAATGTTTGGGAAATAATTCTAATTATTCCTAGTTTTTGGCTTAGCTAGATTTCCATTAAAACATTATTCAAACTAGTACAAAGTTCATGCATCAACACAGAGTGAAACCCATAATAATAGTTCGAATGATTACTGTTTTTTGTCAACCACCGGTATCCGGTTCCATTACAGTTAAGACTACTCGTCTCTCTCTGCAAGTGTGTTTAGTGAATAACGAACCTGAGAACTCTTTTCATATATCCAGCCCACATTGCCAACTGAGCCACAATTCATAGATAATATTATTATTTAAACTATGCATAAGTTCATTTTAGGTTTGTAGCCTTAGTTTAGGCTAAGTTTTATTAAGAGTTGGTTGGATACTAATATTATTATTGTCAATAGCAGATTTTTAATTAAAAAATTTGTTGTATTAATCTTATTGGTATGGTGATCATAATTGTTTGTAATGTAGTTTTTTGTAGGTTTAAAATTTGATTTTAGAAAAAAAAAAATCACATTTGGATTGCTCAGGAAAATAATATTGCAAGAAAATATATATAACTTTTTATTTGCACATATTTCTCTGCTGAGGAAATGTAATTCAGATAAAATCTTCTAAACAATTACCATTCTAGGTTTCAAATCGTTAATTTTATAGATAAAGTCTGTTTAGAAATTTAGTTCCATTTCGTCCATTCAACTTACAATTAGTGACGAATGTATTATTAATTACTCCATTTATCCCAAAATATAAATCGTTTAAGGTTTTTACAAATGGATTCTAATTGTAACCATCAGTCATATAAACTATATACAAATGTCTAAAAGTGAATATGAATATTATTATTAATTGTCATTCGCACCAAATAATTTAGTAGATTGACTTACTATATGGATGGATTCATATATCTAAGTGTCCATTATAGACTACATAATAGGATCTAATCCTCTCGTTTACTTACCAAATTAATAAAAACTTTTATAGTCGAAAGGTCTCGAATTTAAAATTATAGCCGTTACTAACCAGCCTGCATGATTTTTTTGCCCTTTCTTTATCTACGAAAAACTCGAATGTATATGTTTCTAAATAATATTATGCCGCTCCACATGATCCACGGAAGAGGTTCGTGCCTTAGACTTCCACCTCTTAGGTCGAGTGCGCGCCTGCTCGCGGCCTCGAATGGCTTCTACTTGCTCGGGTTGTTACAAAGCATTTGAGTGTTCTTACAAGCTCTCTTGTGTTCTCTTCTCTATTTAACTCTCGTTTTTGCTCCAACACAACTCTAAAGCTTACTTAGCTCGTCCTAGCACCCAAAGGCGACTAAGTGCCGCACGGATAGGCAAGCTAAAACCTATCTCCATGACAGGTGGTATCAGAGCAGGTTCCGTCCTAGGTCCCAAGTCCCTTGCCTTGATCAATGGCAAACGATGAAGCTCAATTGGTTGTTGAGTTCGAAAAAACAAAAAATATTATGCCCCAAACATTTGACAAAATTTATATTTGACCATATCCAACTGTATGATGCATTGGACTATATGGTCTCGGATCTGAAGAGTCACGTGTTTACCTTACAACATAAAAGATGAATAATCTTATATATTACAACATAAAAGATTGAATAACTCTTAGTATATATATATATATATATATATATAATATTATATATATATATATATATTATAGGGAAAATAATTTCAAAATTCTTAAATATTATAGGGAAAATAATTTCAAAATTCTAATTTAGGAAGGTACAAAACTCACAAGTCATGGTCAATAGGTATAGAAAGATCAAACATTAATTTCTACAACAGGATAGCAGACCACATATTCTTTTTTCTACCAAGATTATAAACATAGTACAATAAGGGCTAATAATTTCACAGAAAGAAACCCTAAATGGGTCTCTCTTTCCCTAATCAATAATAACAATAATTAATATTAATAATTAACAATATTTCACATAAATATACTAATTAATCTTACAAGATTAACAATCAAAAAACCTAAAAAAACTAAATACTACCATGATCTTCTCTCTCTTGAGTATCACCACCATTATCATTATTCCAAGGAGAAGCATAATAAAACCCAGCATTTTGATCATAATTAACACTTCCTCCATCACCATAACCAGGACCAATAGTACTCCTTCTTCCATTAAATTGATGAGGAGGTGTTGCTTGTTGCATTTCATTACAGGCATACCTAATTAAATCTGCATTTGTAGCATCTAATTCCTTTTGAAGCCTAATGACTTGCCTTTGGAGCACTGAAATAGCTCCAACACAACCATACACAGGGTCTTTCATTCGCGCTTCGGCTTCATAGGCAAGAGAGTTAACTGCATCTTCTCTCTGATGAGGAAGCACCTCGTTCAGTAACTTACTCACATTACTTGCACCAAAGATTTTATGAACATTAGCAAACTTTTGTGGCTCTTCTGGCGGAAAATAGGGCGCAAAAATGCAATCTGGTAGACATTTTCTCCTCAAGAACTTGCAAGCAGCACATGGAGCATTTGAATAGCTAGAAGAAGCCATGTATCCTGTATACGGAAATAAATACATATGTGCTTCAATTAACCAACTGATCAGCAATAAAATATTTATTTAAGCACCCCAATCCATCAAAAGATATATAATATGCAAGTTATAAATATTATGTTTTCTTAGAATTGCAACTTATGAATTAAAAAAAAATTTTCTTTTTCATTTTCTTTTAATTATGAATTTAAAATTTTATTTTTACCATCACGAGAGTTTATTATGTTTGATTGCTCTTATTATTATATAAAAATATATATTAACTTTTTTTCTATTAAGCCGCATTCAACAACTTAATTCCTCTCCTATTTCTTTTTCAAACGTTTACTTTTTTGGCCTGGAAAGTATTTATGCATTTCTTGTATATATGTATTTATGGCATTTCTTGTATATATATATATATATATATATATTATATATTAGATGTTGAAAATTAAATCACATAAGAACCCTATATATGGCCAAAACAAACAAACATTTTCCTTTTGTTACAAAGAAAAACAAATATTAATGTTGAAATTAAATCACATAAGAACCCTATATATGGCCAAAAACAAACAACATTTTCCTTTGTTACAAAGAAAACAAAAAAAAAAATTATCGTACAGACACATATATATAGTTTCCTGTTTTAAGATTCCTGAAAATTTGGTCAAATAGTTCTGCTAAAGAATGTTTCTCTCTCTCTTTCCGTCTCAGAAATTTTATACCGACACCCAATATGGCTACTGCAGTTTCACACTGTACTCTTGATTTTAATGTACCTATGGATCTAACAGGCAAAATTAATTAATTAACTATAATCCTTAATTATTATTAATTTCCTTATATAAATATATATAATAGGAAATAATTAACATTTCTTAATAACTGTAATTGATTCTGGGCATAACAATCAAAACCCATATGTCAAAACCTTTAATTAATTATAATTTTAAAACAATTATACTATATATTCATCTATCTCTCCTCCTTTATTTATATAGTACTGTAATTTTGAAAATGAAAGGATCACATCATATATATATATATAGGGGTGCTTGTACTTACCGTTGTATGACTAGGTTATCTTTGATCAGGAGAGAGGAACAGAAATGCTATCCTTTTATCTGTTCTTCTCTTGTTTAGTAGGCTCTTTCAAGATCTATAATACAATAGGATTGTCCCAAGGAAGAAAACACTATGCAGTCATTTAGAGAGAGAGAGACAGACAGAGAAAGAGAGAGATGAAAATTCTTTATTTTGATGGTATGAGATGTGAGAGTTGAAAGAGGAAACCCTAGTTATTATAGGGCAGAGAGAGAAAGAAACCTGCAAAATACAGTGATGGAAGATTATTAGAGAAAAAAAGAGAGAAAAAAAAAAAAAAAGAGGCAAAGAGCATTTAGTGTCTAGTGAAGGAAAGCAAAAGACAAATGCAATAAATGGGGGCAACTAGCTAAAAGATGACTATGACACTGCTGCCAGTTTTTAATAATATCAAATACTGTTCATAACTTGCCCAATTTATTATTTACTATGATATATATACTGGCATGGAATTTCATTCTTTTTGTTTGGAAAATAAATAAATAATCAAATTTCTTTTTTTTCATTTCTAAAAGAAAATCTGACTATTTCAGGCAACTGATCAAGATAGTCAACTGTACTCACTTGATCAAATTAATGCACATGTAATACTTCAAGATTATAATACAATTGCATCTTATTACAAAACAAGACTTGCTGCAATTTCTGCCAAAATTTTTGGATTCATAGATATATCTTTGCGGGATATATGTACATACACACATGTTCAGACAAATCAACACTGAATAAAAGGCAAAAATTTCAAAAAGAAAACAACAAAGAGCATTAAAAGATCTGGCGGAGTCTACTTATCTTGATTTGTTGATATTATCTACACATTTTCAGTGCACCACACTTGAAGTGAAATTCACTAGAATACTTGGGTGAAAATTATTTAAATATTTTTGGCATGTGTCAGGTTCAAAAAATATCTAATGCCTTTAAAAAATTTTTTAATAATTTAGATATTACTTATGTCGCACTAAAATAAATGTGCAAAGATATATACAGATTGTGTTAGACCCAATTTGTGTGTGTGTGTGTGTGTGTGTATGTACTATTGAACAGTGATAGGATCAGAGCCGCATGCCAACTTTGGAGTAGGTTTTGTGGCACCACTCTTTTCTTTTTTGAGTACTCTTTTTTTTATTAAATTCTAATGGTTGGTACAATAAAAGGAAGCAGTGTCCCCGGACCCCTCTCCCTCCCCTTTCCTCTCTTCCATCCCAACAGGCCAACACGCCCCACCCTCTGGGTCCAATCGTTCTAATTCAGGAGTCAATACTTAGTACCTATTACCTTCGTTTAGTACCTATTACATTCGTTGTCCTCTTTCGTGTTGTTCGTCAATTTAGATTTATAATCCAACATGTAATGGATCTAGTATAAAGGGATCTTTTCGGTAAAATTAGATATTTTGTTAACTGTTAACTGTTTTACTTATTACCTTAGTACCTATTACATTCGTTGTCATCTTTCGTGTTGTTCGTCAATTCAGACTTATAATCCAACATGCAATGGATCTAGTATAAAGGGGTCTTTTCGGTAAAATTAGATATTTTGTTAGCTGTTAATTGTTTTAGTAGTTTTTCATAAAATGTTAAAAGATAAATGTTATATGGATTAATTTTTAATAAAACGCTACATTAAACTTTAAAAGTGAGTTCAAATATTATTTATCACATTCTATAAAAATTAGTGTTTTGACCAGTAAAATGTTTAAATCTACTTAAAAAGTTTTCGCCGAACAGAGCTTTCGCCGAACACAGTCTAAAGGTCTGTTCGGCAAAATTAGTTATTTTGTTAGTTATTAGCTGTTTTAATAGCCTTCAGCCGTTAGCTATTTTAATAGCTTTTCATACAATGCTAAAAGTCAAACATTAAATGACAGTTAATTTTTTATAAAACGCTACTCTAACCCCCTAACAGTTAGTTCAAATGCTAATGTTTAGCTCTTAAGCTACTTAAAAATCTACAATATATCATCCTGTATAGGAAGTGAGTATATGATATTGATGTGGTTAAAGTCTCTACTTTCTCAAATTGATTTTTCAAGTTTTAATCTGGCAACAATGGACTTGATTATTATTTTGCTCGTAAATAAATTGCTTCTAAAACTATTTAATTTAATTAAGGATCAAATTTACTAATTATAGATATGTTTACCAAGCCTCTCACAATTCGAAAATTTCAATTTTCCCATGACAAGCTTAGGTTACTTATTTGACCAACATCGTCTTGACGGGGGCATTAGGATCTACATCTATTAAATAAGTTTTATGCATTTGATAATAGGGATTTTCTTATCTAGATCGGGACCGTGGCTCTATTCATGAATCAAATCAATGAAAATAGATATTTTGTTTAGACGGATGTATTTAGAAAAAATAAATAAATTAAGAACAAATTTTTTTTTAAAAAAAAATGTTACTAAGGGATATCATTAATTTGGATGAGTCGTTCGGAATCAACTTTTAGCATTTGGACTTCCAACTGATAGATAAGGATATTGATGTTAGTCACTGAGCTTCACAATAAATTTTATAAAAATAAGAAAAACAATTATTTTTGTAATATTAATATATTACTTGTTTACAAGCTTTCGTGTAGGGCTTATAAATGATCAAATCTTGTTTGTGAGAAGTAATCAAGCTTCAGTTTATGTTTGAATTTATTTGTTATTTTTATTATTGAGCAATTTGGATTGTTTTAGAACTATATTAATTGATTTCCTCACCCTTTCTAATAATATAAAAAAAAGTTTTTATTTTTTTTAATTTATTAGAGGTTTTTATGAGCCGAAATGACACTGCTAGCTACACGATAATAAGGGTAACCCTCCTTTTGGCTCACTAAATTGGTAAAAAAATGTTTTTATTTTGAGCTTTCTCATCTATTGAAATTTCATTAAATTGATGAAAAGAAAAAATATTTTCAATTATGTAGCACAATATTATTTTGATTCATTTGATTTCTTTTAAATAATAATGATAATGATAATGAGTGATCTGGGCCTGAAAAGTGGACAATCAACCTACAGCTATATTTTAAATAATGTTTTTCCAAAAAAAATATTTTAAATAATGTGATAAAAAAGAATAAACATTAAAAGATTACAAAATAGCATAATAAATTGCAAAAGTAGCATGATCTTGTAAATAGACTGACATATCAACTTACCTAATTGCACACGAGCAAATGAATCGAATTTTGGCTTGATGCCTTGTATTGTTTATTACAATGATTTGATCTTAAAAAGATGAATATGTTCTCATTAATATAAATTTTGAAAATATTAACACTAATATTGTAACATCATTTTGAATCTTTGATATATAGTATTAAAATAATAATAATAATAAACAATAATGCAAATTTCTACTTATATGTTGTCAAATCCTATAGCATCTAGACCTAACAAAATATTGTTCGCTTTGACCCAACCCACACGGTTCTATTTCTAAGAGTGACGATCCATCACTCTCTACAAGTCTTTTACTAATCTAAAATTTACTCATTCTTATATGCATCACTTTCAGACGTGGAATTTACCGAATGTAAGCTAACATTTCAAGTTAGCATCTTATTTAGTGCGAAGTTATAAATACCAGTAATATTTTGATGGCAATAACAAATACTCACTGTAGTGCTAATAATAATACACATCAGATGTCATTAGCACTAATTCTTGTTAATATTAAATTTTTATTTTTTAATACTACATAAATTCCCCAAATCCAAATCCAATGCTCCTCTTAATTATTGCCATCGAAGTGACCACAAAAACATACCAAAAGGTACAAACAAGTAACATCAAATTAACTTGTGGTAGTAGTATTATTGAGTTCAGCATATATATATATATATATATATATGAAGTTCTGATAATATGCTTTTCGCTGTAGACTCCATTATTGAATCCCAGTTATATCAGCTTGTACACAGTACTACTTGCTAGCTTTATATAAATTAGATCATTTTTATTTTCATTTGTAGTTATAGGCCCTATTGAGTAAAAATTAGTTATTTAAAAAAATTTTTTTTTAGTTATCAGCTGTTTTACCAGCATGTCATCAAACAATAAAACATAATAAAGTTTCATAATTTACTTTCTATTCTCTTCTGCATCTTATCTGGGTGGTAACAAATCACAACTTGCATTACTTAAAATATTCTAAAAATGTAATTTGAAGGCAAATGATGATGAGATTTATGACAAATCCTTTGAGAAATTTCAACACTCAGATGCCACCAAATTTGTGCAGTCAATTCAATAAACATGAGCTTGTTATTTGGTACTTTTGTCACCATTATTACAAAGTGGCTTCATGTGTATCAACATATACCCACTGTTGATTGTAGCGGGAGAGATTTTGCAATTTGAAACCGCTGTTTAAAGAAAAAGAAATTTTTATGATTACATTTTATTCCTCGAAAGTTGTATTTGTAATATGATATAAAAAGTAAAAAATGAATTTAAAAAAAATTCATTTTAACTTCAATAAAAAAAGTGTGCCAAATTTTAAAATTCACCAATAAAAATTTTACCTTTTCAATGAATATTTACAAGAAATTCCACTGATTTATTTAATTAATCTGAGAAGAAGAATTGAAATTAGTAATTATTACTACAAAGGTTTTTGTTGGTGATGATAAAGGTATTTACTTGGATGGAAAATGATACAAAAAAGGTACTCAAATTGGATACATGAGTGGGTCATCTGGACAAACTTATTGGGTGGCTAGGGATTCCCCAAGCTAATTATCGATTTTTCTTGGTTTAATTTTTTTTATTAATTTATGTTATTAAATTAATATAAAACACATTTTTATTATATCAAGTTTTTCGTATAATATATATAAAAACAAATTTAGATTTATCATGTCGGCAAATTCGTTTTAATTTTTAATACATAGATGACTTAGAACTGTAAAAATAATAATAAAAATACGTTAAATGAGATTGTCAAAATTAAAAATTTAAATATTTAATAGTGAATTTGGATGGGAAAATAAATAAAAGGAACAACCAAAGATGATTTTTTTTTTTAAACTTTCTTTTTGTGATAAATGAAACATAATATAGAGAATTACGAATGAGAATAAAACAATACAATTATACAAGAAGCTAAAATCTGTGGTCGGTCTTCTCAAAAAAAAAAAAAAAAAATTTCGTATAATATATATAAAGAACAAAAATGTTAGATTTATCATGTCGGCAAATTCGTTTAATTTTTAAATAGCATAGATGACTTAGAACTGTAAAAATAATAATAAAAATACGTTAAATGAGATTGTCCAAATTTAAAAATTTAAAATATTTATAGTGAATTTGGATGGGAAATAAATAAAAGTGAACAACCAAAGATGTATTTTTTTTTTTAAACTTTCTTTTTGGTGATAAAATGAAACATAATTATAGAGAATTACGATGAGAATAAAACAATACAATTATTATCAAGAAGCTAAAATTGTGGTCGGGTTCTTCTCAAATAAAAAAAAAAAAAAAAATCTGTGGCTTAGGCGACGACGCAAAGTCCAACAAACCAAGAAATCTAAATAATGAATAATAATAATAATAAAAAAAAAAAAAAAAAAAATCTGTGGTCTTAGGCGACGACGCAAAGTCCAACAACAAGAAAATCTAAATAATAATAATAATAATAATAATAATAACAACAAAACAAGTGAGCATATGATGAATGCCAACCATTTGTATTTAGATTGACTAGAATAGTTCTACAATATGTATTAATTATTTAACTTTTTTTTTTCTTTCGATATTATATATAGTAAATCTGTATTATTGGCAACAATTACAATAATTTAAATTTCATCGTCAGGGGAAGTGCAATTCATTACGAAGCCCATTAGGGCAATAAAATCCACTAAAGTAAATGAATATAAATTGAAATTAATTATTATAATGTTAAGGATTGAACCTCGGACCTCTTAGTTCCAGGACATCACTCTTAAGGGATCATTCATGAATTATTTAATTAATGAAAATTTGAATTAAATAGATAATGAAGAGAATTATAAAAAATTTTAAAAGGTATAATTGTTTGAAATTATCAGAATTAAAAATTCACCATTCAATTATATATATGAGATTTTCTGATAATAATAATAATAATAATGAGAGTTAACACTTCTTTTTATAAAAATTGATTGTTTGACCTATAATCAATATATTTTAGTTTGGATAAATATTTTTTTATAACTAGTATATTATCAAAAGAGAACTTTAATTAAAATTATTTTAAAGGACACAATTATTTTATGATTTTTATTTTTAAATAAATGTCGGTTGCATCATAAAAAAAATACTAATTGCATGTGATTAGAGTAATGATTTAATTTTCTTTAGATTTTCTTCATTATGTGGTACATTTTCTTCATTATGTGGTACATGAATCTGCTTTTGTAATGTGTATCGTATACAAACAGGTGCATGAGAACAAACATTGCCTATAACATCACTTTTACAATTTCTCCCTTTTTCTAATAAAAAAAAAATCCTAATTTCGAAGCATCAAACAAAATAATCCCCAATTTCTTAATCATTTGATGCCATATGGTAGCTTAATCATTTGATATCTCACCTACTGTATCTTACATTATTCAAATCAAAATCTAATTAAGACAAGCTTAAACAAGCTTATACTAATTAAAGCCCAGTTTAGTGTAGCACTGGAAAGAGCTGAGCGGAGCCGACATCTAGTGAGCTCGAGCTCAAAAATCTATGCTCGAGTTCGCCTCGATAACTATAAAAGAGCCACACTCTTGCTCGAAATCTATAAATCCAAATGTTATTGTTTTAACTTAGGTCTAATTAATTCTGTTCGATAAAGCTAGCTCGGGAGCTAGGCTCAATAAATTCGCTTGCGAGTTAATGAGCTGAATTTGAGCCCAACTCGTTTATTAAAGGAACTCAATAGCTCAGCTCGATAAGTTTATGAAACTAGCTTAAACCAGTTTTTATTGAGCCGAGCCTCGAATAGTTCATGATTGGCTTGTCTCATTTATTGTCCTAGTTTAGTGATTATATTTAAATATTATACCGACTGCTATTTTGGCGATAACTTTTTATGTAGCGTGTAGCGTTTTGACTAAAGTAAAAAATATTACTTCTGTTATTTATAATATTCAGTGATGCAACATTTATACTACTATTTAGCGTTTTAGAAAATAAATTATGAAACGTTGCTCTCTTTTAATATTTGATGAAACGCTAGTTATAAAACTTACAATTATTAAAATAATTATTAAAATAGTTAATTTTACCAAATAAATACAAGAGAATATGTCTTTTAACCGTTTGACAGTGAAATGCTCGTAATAGAATAAATGAAAGTAAATACTTCTACATAATAAAATTATGCGAATGTGTTTTCAATTATAATTTTCTAATTATCATATAAAAAGGGGTATTATTGTAATTGATGATATATTGATTGTTTCCTAAAGAAAAAGATTACATAGTGATTGTATTAGATGATTGAGAGAATATGAGCATACCATATTATATTTTTTTTATTATTATATAATATAATTATATATACATTTTAAAAAATGCCACTCATTAAGTGAGTTTGTGATTGGCATTGAGAGGAAAGAGATAAAGGGGAATATTTATAGTCGGTTGAAGGATGACCCTAATGATTAGAAAGGCAATTATTTGTTGATGAAATGCATATGATATTAATATATTATGCGTCACGCTCAATTAATATATATTATATAGAGATTACACATAATTTAGTGGATGATTGGAACTTTTGGAATATTTGCCTTATATCCTAAAAACTTATAACATCAATAATTTTCAAATTGTTTTAGTTTTGGCTTCCAAAAGAACAAGATTGGCTCTTGAAATAACAATTGTCAAATGAGGTACAAGATTAAGCAATTTTCAATTTTAAATGAAATATATTGGTACAATTTTTTGTAATTAATGAAAAATTAAATGAGTTAAAATAATAATAATAATGAAATATACTGAAAGTCAAATGAATTAGAATAACGTTACAGATTATATATACAACAAGAACTTATTCATCAAATTAGTAAAAACTTTAATAGTCGAGATACTTGAAACTTAAAAACCTTCCGCTATTTACATTTTTAGAGAAAATGAAAAGATTCAATAAATTCCACATAATTTAATTATTTAGTGACTGATCCATATGATAAAGGCAAATACTTAACCCTAATTAGCATCATACTTGATTAACTCATTTTACAAAATATAGAATTTTAATATAAAACAATAATATAAATTTTCTTTTGACCTATAATTTTTTTTTTTTTTATAACTAGGTCGAGCCATAGACCGTAAAAATTTTTTAGCTCTCTCAGTAAAATATTCTTCTTAGTAATTAAATTTGTATATTCACTTTTACATAAATTAAATTCACTTACTATTCTAACCAACAATTTGTTGACCTATAAATTTTTTATTTTACAGAAAAAAAGTAAAGACTCGAGTTTTCACCCAAGTTCACATCCCAAAGGCAGGAAAGAGTGGAGAACGGTTGATGAACAACAAACCGCAGCAGCCAAATATTTTGGCAAAAAAGGTCAAAAAGTATGATGTGGATTAATGAACGTTCTAAAAACGGCATGGCGTATAGGTAATTGGTCAAGATACCATAATAAATCAACAAAAAGATTAGTCAAGCAGATTTGTGATTAAGCTTATGATAATATCACAAAATTGAAGAAACTTGAAGTTGTATACTATGCATGTAAATAGCCTAGAAAACTATTTTTAATTAGCTCAAAAATCTTCAGCTATTATTATCAATATATATTAATATAATCTTTTTCTTTTTATATATATTAAGGCATAACTTACTGAGAAATAAATGAATATAAACAAAGATCAAATCCTACTTCAATACTCAAAAAAAAAAAATTCAAACGACTGATCTATTAGCATAATTAGACATTAGTGAAACCTTCTTAGCCAAAATAGAGAAATGAATATACTTTTGGGTTCTATACTTACAATATCCTAAAGAAAAATGCATAAATTGATTGTACAAAATATTATCCAAAAAGTTCTCTTCTTACTTTACATTTCACATTTAAACCTGCAAAAATGAAAATGCAATACCATTAAGCTTGCATTCCAATAACTACAAATTTATCAAAGCAAGCACAAAAAAAACAGAATAGTGAATTAAAAAGGAACTTACCTACATTATCCAAGAGAATTACTGCTTGATAGGAATGTTACAAATTGATCTTTATATACTGTATCATATCAATTAATGTTAAGCTGCTAGAAAGTAATCGCGGATGGTTTTTCTTTTCAAAGAAGATGGAGGATTCAACACAGAAGAAGGGCTCTGCACTGCTGCTTCAGGAGTTTTATTGAAAGCTTCTTTTGAATCAGAATCTGACGAGAACTTTCTCTTCTGGGATTCGGGAGTACGTACCACATGCATTTTGTAAGAGTTTGGTGAGTCAATTTGATTGCATGCTTCATTTGAAGAATCCAAATCACCAGAATCTTTTTTAAGACTAGTTGGTTCTTCGTTCATTAAAAGCCTTCTACATTCCTCACTTGGAATTGCCATTATTCTCCTTCTAATAGAGGAAGGTGATCTTGAGGTTGAACAATAACTGTTTTGCATGTTCCAAATCCGAACCTATCAAATAAAGAATTGTTGAAGCAAGTCAGATATCCAACACAAGCAAAGTTATTAGGTTACATTATCCATCATTAAATGGAAATTGGGCAAAAAAGCATTGTCTTCTAATTTTGGATGATTCATCAAATCCCAAAACACTTTTAGGAATTAGGAGTATTATCTTACCGTGAAATCATCTGACGCAGTCGCTATCTTCCCATCAGATGGGCTCCTGTGGTAGATAATTGGAAAAAAGTTAGTAACTTTGTATACATGGGAGAAAAATCTCTGATAAAAACTGCATGTGGCTTAAAAATAATACCAATCTACTGCTGTAACTTCTCCGTCGTTGCTTTTCAATGTAATAGGATCAGTGCAAGGCTTGTTAACCTGGCAAGCTAATACAATTATATACAGAACAAGACTAAAACTAAGTGACATTGCTTTTGGAAAGAAATAAAACCTGCCATATGTAGGTTTTTCCATCACTAGAGCCACTTAGAATATGAGCTGCATCAGGACTGATTGCTGACTGCAAGTTATATAAATCACATTAACATGCTTCTCATACATAGAGAAAAGATTTTTAAGGCCTCCAAAAACAACTACATACCTTTACATAGAATGATTCAATCCGGCATCCAGAGAATGACTGAATTGGACCTTTTCCAAGCTGAAGTACGTTATACAAGTAGATTCTGGAAAAAATTGTAAATCTTTTTAGATGCAACATATGATATCCAAGTAATTTCAAAGGCATTGGAACTGCAAACTACCTATGGTCCATGCATGAAGCTGTAAGAAACACTCCATTTAAATCCTGAGACAGGCTTGATATACCATGAAATCTTTTCTCCTGAAATAAGCCCAAGGAAAAATTAAGTCTCTGTATCATTATTGATATGGCATATATTCTTAATGTTTAATTGAATTTTTAGACCTATTGAACATTAGACTTCAAAGCATTAGAAGCAAAGATTGAATGATAGCATCCACGTTTAGCTGCAAACTTACCTTCTCAGGTGATGATTTAGAATGTGGACACGCCTGAGTAACCTGAGCCTTTAAATTTCTGGTATCCCAGAATTTAACAACACTGAATGTAACAATATATGAAAAGAAGTATTGTCAGAAATTAGAATCTGCCATTCTACAAAGGAATAAAAATTAGAATCTGCCTTTAGATTACAGATGTTTTAAACAGACCTGTCCACTGCTCCAGCAGTGGCAATGGAGATCTCATCTTTTAGATAAAGAACTGACGTAATGCTCATGGAAGCAGCCTGACAAAAAAGAAAAAAAAAAACAATCAAGTATCAACAACATGAATGATGCCTGGAAATAAAGAAACACCATAAGTGGACAAACCTTGCCCCTCCTAACCCGCTTTGCTTGAGGTGAAAGATGAGCTTTTTGGACCATGGCAGTTGAACTGGATGAAGTATGGAAGGTAGCATTGAGAAAAATGGAAAGTGTAAATGGGATATGCAAAGAAAACTTTGAGCTGGATAAACCACCAGCACAATGTACTCAATTGGATGCAAGAATGGGTGTAACTCACGTTATGCAAGCTTCATTGTATCTACTTCCAGAAGCAATTTTGCATCTCAAGTCCCATATGGCAAAGGATCCATCTCTTGAACCAGAAACGAGAATGTCTGTTGGGAAATTAGAGTAAAAATTAAATTGCTGCAATGAGAAGAAACTAATCCTGTCAATGCATATCAAAACAACCTACCAGAATTTGTTGGATGAGGACACATAGATTTAATACTTCCTATGTGCCCCGTCAAAACTCCAGTGCATTTCTTCTCTTGTGCGTCCCATATCTTTATCTGTATGATGACCCATGAAAGTGCAACTATTGAGTTCCAGAAGCAAATATAAAAATAGAATCAGACCTTCCCAATGCCAACTCTCCTTTCAGAAATTCAGCTTATAATGTCGAGTTCAGCATTAGTTACTAGTTAACGGTTATTTCAACGCCCTCATAATGTTAAAGGACCTCCCACATTCAGACTTATGAAATCTGTTGTTTCGCAAAATAGTTGATTTGGTCATAAAAATAAGTCTTTTGGCAAAATCAAACTGAATGCCTTTTGTAAGTACAAATGAACTGATGCAACTTATCACATTACAATCGCAGATCCAAACACCAGAACAATATATTTTAATGTGCGACTACTTACAGTTTGATCACCTGAAGCCGTGAGTATGTTGGTGTCTTCCTGAAAAATTTCAGATCATTATATAAGCATCAAAGGAAAGATAACATTCATCAATCCATATCATGAACATGTTGTCAAGAACAACGAATCTCTTTAGAACTAAAGTTACATTGGCCATTTATGAAAAATTGGTCAATTTTATGGAAGATGGCTACCAATCAAATAACAGAAAGCAATGCTAAATGAATTCACTTGTACTAAAGTTGAGATAGATCAATTACGTCATTTAGTTTATATAGAATTTGTGCTCAAATCAAGGCACACCAGGAAATCACATTAACCATCCTGCATAACGAAATGTATAGCCTAGCTTACGTTTCATCACTTCAATACAAACTAGATCCCATTCCTTTAAAATTTCTCTTATGGCACAGATTAACGTGGAATTTCAGTAAGAATAGAAACAATGTCCCTAATAATTGATTACTAAACATGTACTAAACTCATAAGATCTCGGAATGGTTAAGCACCTTGATCCAGCATATATCAAATATAGCATTTTGATGAGCCACCCACTCGCTGATTCTTGCTTTATCTGCACATATTTATCAAATTTAAAATGGGAGAAAAAAAAAAACAGAATATACTATTCATTAACTAAAAATTGAAAACATAATTACATGATTCGAAAATAAATGGGCAAAAAACCTGAAAATTCTTGATGAGATGCGTAAGCAGGGAACTTTTTTCGCGCATCAAACAAGCTCACGAACCCATCCTCATCCGAGACAGCCAAAATATGGGAAGTTTTACTTGTCTGGAAAAATACAAATTTCCCAATTAAGTTTGTTTTTTTCTTTTTTTTAATATAGTGACCATAGAATTTTTTTTTTTTCAATTGAAATATGTAGAAACGTACCTTGCCGAAAGAAATGGCCAGAGGAGGCGTATCTTCACCACTGTGTTCAACGGCCAGGGCTTCAAACTCAGCAAAATCAGATGCCTTATTGCCGATATAGGGTCTTTTTCGAACTGATTTAAACAAAAAGAGTTATAGTCATGCACAGAAATATAAATCCACACGGCGGCGGAGAGAAAGTGGAAGAGAGAATACCTCTAAATCCGTTGAGTTCTCTGGACCTGATACCTTGGAAGACGGAGTCCATGGAGTCGGTGGCGAGAGCGAGAGTGATGAAAGACACGGGAAGGAAGAGAGATGTTTCGAGCGGCTATCGAAGTGACATTACTGAAACCCAATTTGGCGCGACCGCGAAGATTGTCGTTTTAATTACGCGGGAAACTAAAATTTCTCAATTTCAGTGGCGGTGCTGCTCTAAACATTAGACAATATTAATTTTATAAAATTATTTATTGGTAATTCTTTTTTGAATTAATATTTTGATGTAATTGAATAATAATATTATTTTTATTTATACAATATTAAATAATATATTAATTTTACAAAATAAAAATTCATATGATACATTTTAACTATTAGGTAATAAATAAAGATAATTATATATTTTTTGTGATTCGGTTTGAAAGTTCTTTTAAAAACTATGATGGTGGTTCGTAAAAACACAAATCAAACCAAATTATAAATGCAGTTTGGTTCAATTTAGCGATTTGAATAAAAAAAAATTAAACTTTAGATATAAAGACTAAATTTCAAATGTATTTCATTTGAAGAAAAAATGTAAGAAACATAAATATTAAATATTGAAACAAGGCTAAATGATAAAAAAAAATCTGAAATTACTCTGCTTTTGTAATTTTAGTTAATTTTTTTAATTTTGACAATTGATACAATAAATTTATTTTTTTAATTGTTTTTTATAGTCACCATCGGTATCGGTTACAAAATTGTTAATGTTACAGTCAGTGGAGTCCATATTGATATACCAGCCCTTCACATAAAAAAAAAAGGCTAAAAGATAAAAAAAAAAAAAAGCTTAAACTTTAGATATTTTAGCCATTTTTAAAAAATTTATGGCAATTTTTTTATGAGTTGTTTCATTGTGCTTTCATATATATACCTAGTACATAATTAATTATAATTTAATTATGTAAAATTTATATTTTATTGAATGATTCTGTAAATTACAGCGTATCAGTCTATAATGTAAAATTTACTATTTAATTATTCACTTAATTAATAATTAATATACTATAAAAAATAAAAATTTAATTCTGAAATACTAAAATAACTTTACAGCACATTAATAAATTTTATTTTTTCCATTCGAATTAAATTTTAAAATTAAAAAATAAATTATAGTAACTCAAAATACTTTATTTTTAAAATAAAAAATTATAAATTAAATATTTTAAAAATCCAAAAAATTGAAAAATATCACATGTCACTTAAAAAAAATTAAAAGAATTAGCCTAAAACTATGAAAATATGCAAAATTCAGTCTTTTTCAGTTATTTAGTCTTCAGTTTTTGCTAATGCAACATTTTAAATGTAGCGCTAAAGTGTCAAATGTGGATCCGGCAAACGGCAACGTCAACAACTTTAACAGACTTAAGATGGAGGATGTAATTGCAATGAAAATATTAGTTGACAACACCAATTGTCATAATGAAAAAAAAAAGTTAAAATTACAAAAATGGCCAAAATTCAAGGGTTTTTTTATTATCCTAAAAACAACGATAGTATAAAAATCGCCGAATACATCATTTGCCTCCTGAATTTGTGCAAAAAAGTATTGTGGCCTCATCTACTTTCATAGTACCTTGTGACATCCTAAAAGTGATCTTGTGGCACTTTAAAGTTTATTTTTTATAACAATTACATAGTAAACTTGTTGTGCACAACACGCGCAAATGACGTGAAAAATTACAATTTCAAGTCACAATTAATTTTGCCACGTTGGATATGTAACAAAAAAATTCATGAATTGACCCAAATCAAATCTAAATCGAATCAAATCAGCAACTAACCTAAAATCCATTCTCCCCTTTCCCGGTCACACCACAGTCCCCTCCCCTATCCCCTTCGTTTTTCGTTCATCGTAGCTCAAAGCTCCATCGATTTGACCACCTCACATCACCGGCAACACCTCTGGCCACCGCTTTCTGCCTTCGTTCTTGTTCAAGCAGCGTGATGAGAGAGACAGAGGGGCTTGTCGATTGAGATAGCCCTCTTTCTCCTTTCTTTTGGCATTTCCGGTGATCTGAGCTCAAGTCGCGCTGACTAGAGCTTCTTCTCATCGTTCCTCCACCGCTCACTCCATCTCCGGTCTCTCTCTTTCTCTTCTGACGAGCGCAGCAGAAAGCAAGTCGCAATCTTGCAGTCTCTGTCTTTCTCTTTCAACGCTACTTTTCTGCTTCTCCGGCAAGACCGACCATAAGCCGGTGAGACCAATCAAGGGTCGGCAGATTACACCCTCTCGCTGTCCCTGATGACTTCACCGGCGACTGCTCACATCAACTCTAACCACCTTAGTGAGATGAGCTTGGTTTAGTTTGGGAATAACCCAAATTCACGTGAATTTGCATGAAGAAAATAGGATGAGAGATAAAAAACAGATTTAATAATATTCTAATTTAGTTAGTAATAAAAAATTATTTTTTAATGATTTAAAATGTCATCTAGGACTATTTGTACAAGTTCACGCGCAGGGAAAAAAATTGGCTTTCCATGCGTTGTTGACTTGATTAATAAGGGTGTGATGTTCACAATTTTACAACTTTGGTATGCCACAAGGTCACTTTGAAAGTACAATAGTTTTTTGCGCAAGTTCAGAAGGCAAATGATACATTCAACCGTATAAAAATAAACATTAAATATTATGTTGTTTACATATACTACAAATAGTATATTGGAGTCAATGTTGGCATTGCGCAATATGTTTAGAAGATGAATATTGCGTAAATGTGAATGCTAAAATGGATATCTAGTCAAACAAAGTTGGATAATATTATAAATGACCACATTAGATAAAGATACAAGGAGCAAAAATTGGAGATAAAAATAAGAGAATGATGTTTGAGATGGTATAGTAATGTATTATGTAGATCCTCACATGCCTCAGTTTGTAATGTAATACTTTAATAATAGAGGGTGGTAGACATGGAAGATGTCGACCTAATACTACTTGGAGGGAAATTATTAATGAGATCTCCGGTCTTTGGATATTATCTATAAAAATATATAAAAACAGAGTCCTAAAATCTGAATGAGCATCCTCTTATTATTTTCAAATGTTGATGTGGCAAAAAAAGTTGGCTTAGATCAATATTGTTCTCTTCAATAATGTCAGAGCCGAACAAAAGATTCATTTGTGTGAAGCAAATAACTCCTTTAGCAACCTTTCAGTTTCTCATCCTCAACCTTTTAGTTTTTTATCCGCAACACTAATATGAATCATGAGTAGTTTTGAATTTGAACAGCCCACAAATTTATGATGATAGATCATAGTTCCAGCAATCAGAAAGTTTTTCTATTTGAATATAAAAGTTTGATTTTCTTGAAAATTTATTGATTTTGAGTTATTTGTTTTTTCCAATTTCAAGTATTATTTTCTCTTTAATTTTCTTTCCCCTTTCTCTTACATTGCAATCGTTTTACTTCTTCACCATATGGCCAATTCATTGGTGAAGATCAAAATTTAATTTGTTAATTATAATTATGTTTTTCCACTCCCATTTTGTTTCCTACTGAATTGGGACGCAATCATTTTGGAAGGCAATTAGATGGAATTTACTGGGCAATGATACGCAGAATCATGTATTGTAAACAAGCAAGAATATACCGAAAAGCCATGTTGGATGCAAAGCAACGGAAACCGAGTAAGTTTTTTCCCTTTAAATTTGTCTTTCAAATCTAAAATTACTCATAAATGATTTATTATTTATCTTGTTGTTGCTTTATATATTGATTCAACAAGCATTTGTTTTATGGTAAAACAAGGGTTTATGTTTGAAGAAAATATGATATATGAATTTCTTGAAGTGGAAGACCTTTCAATTTCAACATTTGAATTATATATTGATTTGGTTCAAACCATATGGGTTTGGTTCAAATTAAAAAGTTGAGATGGTTTCTTTTCATATTTAAAAGTTTGAATTATGTTTAAAAAATTTTAAAATCATTCTCTTAATTTAAATCAATTTATGATACTAAATATTAAATACAATAAGTTTATTTTAATTTTCCTATTTTAAACTAATTTTCAAACATTTTTAAAAATTAAAATCATTTCATTGTCCATTTCTAAAAAAATTAAAATCATTTCATTATCAAATACAAAATAATCAAAAGCAAATAAAGTCTCATTAAAAAAAAACTAAATAATAAAATTACAAAATATTACATAAATTTGCAGTGCTTTAATAAGTGAATGAAAAAGCTAATAGAAAAAATCTGGAGCATCGCACGGGTATAAGTCTAGTTACTAAATAAAATAGAGGCAAAAGATTCATGCAGCATACTTTAATTAGTTGCTTGTCGTATTTATTAATATACCATATGGCTTTTAAAATCTCACTTTAAAATTCAACAAAAAATATTTTAAAATATTTTGACATATATTTTATTTTGCATTGATATTAATTTAATCAAAACTGATATTTTAAATAAATAATTTATATAAATGACTTTAACGAATTTCTTTTATTTTTCTCATTGGAGAATTAATTTCCACAGTTAAATATAATAATCCAGTGACAATATTTTTTCTTTTACGCTGTATCAATGGGCACCAAATAATGGCCTACAATTTTTTTTTTCTCCTTCTTTCTCGTGTTCTGATTCTTATATATATATATATATATATATATTTCTTTACGCTGTATCAATGGGACACCAAATAATGGCCTACGATTTTTTTTTCTCCTTCTTTCTGTGTTCTGATTCTTATATATATATATATATATATATATATTTATATATATATATATATATTCCATTTTCAGTTTTGGTGATCTTTCTCACTATTGTTTATTTTTCTTGTTGGCTTAAATTTTTTTTATTTTAAATATACTACAGATAATGATAGTTTGAAAAATCTCCATAATTTTGTTTGTGTTCTTCATTGGTCCTTCTTCAGAAAAAAAAAAATTTTCCTCCGAAATTTTGAATTATGTTTAATTATCTTGTGAAAATTCTTTCAACCTTTGCAACATCATCCAAAATTTCTTTACAACTCAACACTATTCTGACTGCTTCTCAATAATTTTCTTTTTTATAAAAAAAGTGCAAGTACATTATAATTTTTAAGTTTCATATTAAACAATTGAAATAATAAATTAGTTTATAGTTTTTCGGTTTAGCGGTTGGATCCTTAAACCATAAACAAATCAATATTGACAGTTTATAGTTTTGGTTTGATTAAAAATAATTTGATTTGATTTAAAGATTTTGAATTATTTATAAACAACTAATATTAATCAGCTAACAAATAGTTTGGGTTCATATAAAATAGTTTGATTTGATTTGAAGATTTTGAATAGTTTATAAACAAATATTCATTAGCTAACAATTATTAGCTATTACCGATCAGTTTTCAACTATAAATCAAATAGAACCAATCTCATTTAAGTATTTCTAGATCATATGGAGATTTAAGAAGCATATACTTTCGTTAAGGATAATTAAAATGTACTTAGGGTTACTTCTTTTCTTTTCTTTTTGTTTTTTTTTACACTTCTTTAAAGTATGTATCTAGGATTGACAATTTTACCCAATTCGATCTAATATTATCGGGTTTAGATAGTGAATAAACGAGTTTGAAATGGATTCGGATAATATTTTTACTAACTGTATTAGATTTAAGATTTATATCTGCTATCTATTACTCATTTAATAAATATTTAAAATGGTTATTTTTTAAAGAAAAATTAGATATACACGCATTTTTTTATTATAATTAATGTTATAAGAATATTTAACATTTATATTATATTTTTATTAAATCAAAATGATATTACTTTATATTTTTTAAAAAATAAAAAAAATATTTTTAATGCAAAATAAGTATTTAAGCGGATTTTGATTCGATTCTGATTCGACGGTGCATTTTAAGCGGATATTCGATCCGTTGGATCCCAAAACTATCCAATATCCAAGCACTCTCAATTCCCCCAACCCGTTTTAAAAAATAAAAAAAATATTTTTAATGCAAAATAAGTATTTAAGCGGATTTTGATTCGATTCTGATTCGACGGTGCATTTTAAGCGGATATTCGATCCGTTGGATCCCAAAACTATCCAATATCCAAGCACTCTCAATTCCCCCAACCCGACCAAATACGTCTACCGACCAACCCTATAGGCAACATCACATATTGGACCCGAAATACTTAAACCCTAAATCCCCGAAGTATATTTCCTGTTGCAGGTTGCAGCCTCTCCGCCTCTCTCCGTCTTCTCTGCCACTGCTTTGCTTCTTTCCACCATGACAAGGAAGATTAAGCACTACAGACCTCCTGTAAGCTGGCTTTAAGTCTTATTTTGGCTATTAATAATCTCCATGTCTTCTCACGCTTTCTCATTGGTTTTCGCTCGAATTATTTTTCCAGGGAAAGAAGAAGGAAGGTAACGCTGCCAGGTTCGTCACCAGGTCACAAGCCGTCAAGCAGCTCCAGTGCAATCTCACGCTCTTCAGGTACGTTCCTCCACTTCTATCTCTTTTCTGTACCACAGCAGCTGTGCGCTTGTTGATTTATATGCGCATGATTTTTTGTATCAAACTTTGTATTTTTTTATTGTAATTGTATTGGGCTTTATGTTTGAAGTTTTCTTTTCCATCCCTTGGGGAATGGGAATCAACTCATGTGATTATGGAGTTTTGAGCTGCTATTTTATTGAAATGAAAACATTTAGACTGCGTGTAAACTGAAGTTTGAAATTCACGATGCTGTTATTTGAATCGGGGAAAGGGAAGACAAATTGATGTCAGTTAAAATAAGTACTAAGGTCTGATGAATTGGTTATATGTTCTGTGATCAATACTGATAAAGAAATGGTTTCCGATCCTCTTTGTTGCCTTCTGTTTTTCTGTTAGAGCGAGTCTTGGTCTGAATATTATTAGACTTTCCTACATTACTAATGAGACCAATAATTATAGTTTTTTATTTTTATTTTTTAGTAATATTTAAATTTTTGTACTCTGGAAGAAGGTAGAAAAGTGCAGGAAAGTATGGCTTATTTTTCCACGGGTTTGGAAATTGTAGGAAACTATGCATTCTGAAAGGTATTTTCCCCCGGGAGCCAAAGAAGAAGGTCAAAGGAAATCACCACACTTATTATCATTTGAAGGATATTGCATACCTTCAACATGAGCCATTACTAGAGAAGTTTAGAGAAATAAGAGCTTACCAGAAGAAGATAAAGAAAGCTTTGGCAAAGAAGGATAATGATCAGGCAATTCGTCTCCAGACTCGCCAACCTACTCCCAGTTATGACAAGGTCATTCTTCAAAGGTTTGCTAAATCTACAACTCCCTCACATGTTCATTTCCTTGGGATATCATTTTACAGTTCGTGGGAAGTCTCCCTCTGATATTTGGTTTTGCTTGGGGTTTTAGGTATCCAAAATTTGTTGATGCGCTCAGAGACTTGGATGATTGTCTGACATTGGTGCATCTGTTTGCGGTATTACCTGCTATAGAAAGGTTGAAAATTGATGTGGAATGTGTCCATAATTGTCGAAGGTGATACATCTTTCATGTACTTGTATGGGAAATTATTGGAGCATAGTTCAAATTTTAAGAATTGTAAATTTCTATTGTATATTCATATGCTTTTACAATATTATCTTCGTACCTATTTTAATCTGATGTATATATGTTTTTAAATTGTATGTTACTAGGTTGAGTCATGAATGGCAAGCTTATATTGTCCGCACACATAAATTACGGAAGGTTTTTGTATCTGTAAAGGGCATATATTATCAGGTATACAATTTCAATGTTTCTCATTTCCTTTCCTGTAGTTTTTTTATCATGTGGTACTTACACACTTCTAACCCGGGTAGGCCGAGGTTGAAGGTCAAAATATCACATGGCTGACACCTCATGCAATGCAGCAAGTATTACCAGATGATGTCAATTACAATGTTATGTTAACATTTTTGGAGCTTTACCAGGTCACATTTCAATGATGCTGGGATTTCATTCTTTCTTTATTGTATTTTGCCTCCTAATAATTGCTTGTCTTGTTAAGTTTGCGCCATTTGAATAGAAGAATATAATCTAAAATCAACTAGATGCTACTTCCAATTAAGGATTTCCCTTTGTCAATTGGTAATTTCGTAGTGAAAGGTTATGTACATGTTACTAAGCTATAACAAAATTGATAAAACTAAGCTCAAGTAACATCATTTAATTGAGCATCACTGCACAACATAGGAAATTGGTTGATAAAGTTTGCTCATTTCTAGTTCATCCTTGATTTTGTATTTACCAGCAGTCATTATTGGTGCAGAATCTTCTTGGCTTTGTCAATTTTAGGCTTTATCATACCATAAATGTGGAGTATCCTCCAATTCTTGACCCTCAATTGGAAGCTTTAGCAGAAGGTATACTTTTTATCATTATGCAGGTTAAAAATTTTCCATGTTTTCTTTCAAGATTAGATTACATTTCAAATTATGTGCTATTAATCTGTTAATAGCTTACTTTTGGATTTTATTTTTGCTGAATACTGCAGGCCTTTATGCACTTTCAAGGTACATTGATGCTCACTCTAGTGTGCCCACAGAAGAACCTAAAGCTTCCAGTTCATCATTATCACAGCAAGTTAGGGCCCAGGTGGAAGGGACAGAAACTGAGGAGTCTGAAATAAGACTTGCACAACTTCAGCATCAACTTCCTTCCAATGAACCTGGTGCGCTAATGCACCTTGTTCATGATGCTATGGGTGAAGATGAAGATGAAGATGATCAAGCTACAAAGGAGTGCAAGAAGCTGTTTAGAAATATGAAATTTTTCTTGAGTCGTGAGGTGAGGTTAATATCTTACTGCTGGAACTTACAACTTTGGGTGTCATTAATTGAAATTTGTAGTTAACTTCTGGAACGTGGATTTCTCAATGTTGTGGGGTTGATTCCTGCTTTTGTTGATGCTGTGGGCTCAACTAATTGTCACATAACCTTATTGATTGTTTAGATATTTCTCATCACCCTGTAGATCTGTATTGACGACTCTTAATTGCCAATAAACTAATAGTTTCCTATCTTGCTTGTTAATGCTATTATTATTATTATTTTTTTTTTAAACTTGTTTTTTATTTGTTTTAAATTCATTAATCTTGTAGCTTCAGAAATAATACATCAGCTGGCTGGGTTTTTTTCTATATCGTTGCTGAATAGAAGTTTATTTGCTTTACTATTCTTGTGATGTTTCTTTGTTTGCAACTGAACATAGTTTTGGGTATCTCATTTTTTGTATATTTGTTCATTTATTTTTGTTTTAGTCTTTAATACTTCTCATTGTAGGGCATGTTCTATTATTACTTTAGCTTTTATACATGTCATCATAGACTATTAATCTTGTGTCAGCTTACTTGAGAGCAACTATGTGCACCCATAACTTCTGAACTTTCTATATGCACAAGATTTCAGATCAGGTTTTGAATTTTCTGATTTCAAATATCATCTCTTGCCAGAGACTTGAACCTTTTAAGATATTGCATTGTGTAACACCTCTCTCTCTCTCTCTCTCTCTCTCTCTCTCTCTCTCTGGGGACGATTGTGTAGTTGAACCTGTTGCAAAAAGTCAACGGAATATTATCTTTTCTTATATGATGCTCATGTCAGATTTGTTGTTAACGTTCTTCTCATGTGCCTAAGTACCTTCAAGTTCATTTGATTGATTAGTATTAATTTGATTCAAAATTGTGTTGTTCATGAAGATATAATTGGGCCTGTCCATGATGCCATTGCCATTACATGTAATTAGTTTCCTTGATAAAAGGGATTAATATTGTCATATTCCAATCCCTTTATGTTTCTGTTATAATTTCTGGTGAACTAATAATATCTTTGTTCAGGTTCCCAGAGAATCCTTGCTTTTTGTCATTCCTGCTTTTGGTGGTATTGTTTCTTGGGATGGAGATGGAGCCCCATTCAAGGAAGCTGACCAGAGCATTACTCATCAGGTTTACTATTCAACCCCTTCAATCTTTTCAGACATATACATGTTTGCCTATGTGCATATATGTGCTTACACACATTCACAACCACATGTCTTTATGATTTGTGGGAATTTGTTTAAGAGCAACTACAAGTGTTTATTTTCATTCATGCAGATTGTTGATAGGCCAACCCAAGGTCATAAATACCTTTCAAGAGAATATGTTCAACCACAATGGATTTTTGATTGTGTCAATGCAAGGATTATATTGCCAACTGAGGATTACTTAGTGGGAAGGTAATGATGCAACTCCTATTCCTAGAGGATTTTAGGAAAAAAAATATAAATATAGAAAGTAGAAACATAGGGTTTTATTGTTTATTATTGTATGTTCCTAATTATATTAGGATTAATACTAATATTTATAGGATTGTTTGAACGCTATAATAGACCTAATTATTTACATTATAATTAGACTTTGATACGAGAATTATTTTGAGAATAATGCAATTGAGAATTAATCTTTCTTAAGGATTTCTTCATTGCTTGCCTCCCCCAGGCCCCCCATTCTCTCTGTCTCTTTTCTTTACACTTGCCCATACACTATTCCTGTACCTTTATTGTTAAAAGATGAACTGGATTTTCAGTTGCCATATTTTGTAGTAGGTTGCATGTGTTTAATGTTCTCAATTGGAACTTCTTGTGGGCATCCAAATGTACTTTTAGAGCCTCTCAAATCATTTATTAATTATATCTTTTGCTTATATGTTAAGTTCAGCCACTGTGGATTTATGATTATGTAATTGGAAGGATCAAATTCTTGGTAATGCTTATCTAGTGGAAAATTAACTATGGGAAAGCAAATTGTTTTCTGTCATTTAGAAATCCAGCTATTATCCATGCTTTATTTGGGTCCTTTTTCTTTATTATTATTAAATGATATATTTTTTTTTTTTTTGGGGTGGTAATGCCTTTTTTTTTTTTATCTAGTGGAAAAATTAACTATGGGAAAGCAAATTGTTTTACTGTCATTTAGAAATCCAGCTATTATCATGCTTTATTTGGGTCCCCTTTTTCTTTATTTATTATTAAATGATATATTTTTTTTTTTTTTGGGGGGGGGGGGGGGGGGGGGTTCAGTTGCTATAGTTCACAATAGGTTGCATTCCTATTGTATGTCCGAAGGGAAGGGGGGGGGGGGGGGTTCAGTTGCTATAGTTCACAATAGGTTGCATCCCTATTGTATGTCGAAGGGAAACTTTTTTAGGGTTCTATTATGTTGGTATCAATGATTCAAAGCATTTATCAATTCCGCCTTTGGGCTGAATTTAAAATTCATTTTAAGGATGTAAAATTGTGGTTCTGCCAACAGGATTCCTCCACCTCACCTATCACCTTTTGTTGACAATGAGGCAGAAGGTTATGTTCCTGACTATGCAGAGACCATCAAGCGTTTGCAGGCTGCTGCCAGAAACGAAGTCCTTCCAATTACAGGCATGGGAAAGGAAGATCTAGAAGATCCTCAAAATATGTTGGTTGAAGGTTTTATCAGTCGAACAGAGGCTATTGAAGCTGCTGAGAGGAAGCAGAAGGTATGTGATCGTTGAAAATTGAATTATGTAGTAGTAACCTCATTAGAACACTTCAATGAGTCCTTGAGCGTGTGTGCCTACTAACGATAACTGGGCTGCACCGTGGGTGTGTTTGACATTCCCCTATAAGGAAGTCCTTCCATCCTAATTCCTATGAAGTTTAACCTAGAACTCAAAAGTTGTATAATTAATTTTTGATTTGTCCTCTTGAATCATTTCTTTTTTCAGTGCTACATTATTATTATTATTATTATTATTATTATTATTATATTTTTTTTTGCGTTTGCTTGTATAATTTCTCTAGTTCTTCTTGGCCTGACAATAGTTTGGACGTTGCAGATGGAAGCTCTTGAGAAGCAATATCGTGAAGAATTGAAAGCAGAACTTCAGGGTCAAGATTATTCACCAGCATTGAAGAAAGTTAAGCAGAGCTCTTTTGAGGAGATGCAGCCTAGAGAAGAGCATCTTCCTGGTTTGCAGCAGATTGCTGAGGATGCTGAAAACAGGGACGTATTAACTATGTCTCGTAAAAAGAGAGGCCTTTATGAAGCTATTAAGGTGACTTTGATAACCTTATCGTGCCAGTTTTCCTCTTTCTTGACATTGTCTTGGTGTTTCAGTGCTAATACATGTTTTTACACAGAAATTTATTTTATGCGGTCTAAAAGGTTGTGGTCTTTGATTTCGTTGGCAAAAAGTGTGTTTGTCCCTTAGTTTGGATATATAGTTTTCCGGTGCACAAAATGATTAGTATGTTTTTGCCTTTTACCATTTAGAAATTTCTTGATATGGTGCAGTTTTAATTGTTCTTATTTGTTGGTAATAAAAGTTTAATATTTTGATGAACTGCACTCGGGTTTGTTAGATAAGCATGCTGGTCCTGTTGGATTTATAACTGATTTGTTCTTCTAATTGCTGTATTGTGAATGCTTGTGCACTTGCCTGGCATCCCTTATTTGTTGTGGTTGTGAGGCTGCTTCTCACTTTGGTGCATTCACCATGTATTTCATTTAGTTTTCTGTTGTACGATAATTTAATTCCTTAAAGCGGCTAATATGTAAATTTTTTTAGTTTTTGGCTAATGGTTGAATATTTTAATTGATGAGCAATAGGTTTTATTTAATTGTTACTTCGGAAGCATTTTTGTTCAACATTTTGACGCGCTATATGCAGTATCTCACAAAATGCAATCATCTTACTGATTTATGAATGTGTTTTGTATTTTTCTTCAGAAAAACAAAGAGCGGAAGAGTTCTCGGGTTAATAAACTCAAGGAACGGAAGAAAGCTATTGAATCTCAGAAAGCTCAGAAAAATTGAAATCTCTGATATATTTTCTTGCTTTGAAGTTGTTGGCTTACCAAATTGTACAACCTTCATATAGTTTGTGCCTGGCTATGTAAACTCGGCATGTATTAGGTTGACTTTGCCAATTGAAGTTGTAATTGGCGTAAATTTTGGTAAATCTACTGTTACTTTTAAGACTGAATTTGACATAATTGAATTTTCACATTTTTGTTTTGTGGCATCTACTACAGGAATTGAAGTCTGGAGGGAGAAAATGAAAAATCTTGAAAGTTATCCAGCTCGAATAAACTGCGTGCTATTACAAATCATAAATACAGTTTCTAACCTAAACAATTAAAAAAATTAATTTTCTGTTACAATACTCTGATTGAAAGAGATAGTTTACCTTTTATTTTTTTACATGTTAAGAAAAGAGCAATTATTATGATTAAAATATAATTTTATTTATATAATTTTTTTATTATGTCTATCTTAAATAATAAATGAGCATTATTATATTGGAATAATAAATAAAGGGTTACTGAAAATAAGATAAAATTGGTTTAACTATAATGCAAAAAATGAAAATGGATTATATTTTGAGACAAATAAAAAAAAAATTATATTTTTGGGATAGAGGGAGTAATTATTATAAGTTAAAAAAATTAGAACCTAAAATCATCTATTCATAACAAATCTTCATGATTTTGTAACATATATGAAGAAAGATTTCTAAAGTGAATATAGTTACTTCATGATTATCATGCTAGTTTTCTTCTTTTAGTTTTAAAAAATTTTATCAATTATATGTTTTACTTTGTTATTTATTATATATATATTTTTTGTTTAAAGTGTTAAATTACAAATAATTGTAGAAAATATATTTGTATTTAAATAATTAAAAGAAAGCATATTTTATTCTTATCATGAAATATAATCAATTTCAACCAGAAGTAAAAAGCTAACTTTTTAATGAAATTTTGACATTTAACTTATATTTATTTTAAATAAAAATAAGTAGCAAAAATTAAATAATAACAATTGTTTTATGCAAATAATAATATTGCAGTATTTTTGATAAATTTCACATAATAATTTTAATGAATATATTTTTTACCCTCATAAAAATGTAAAATTATTGAATAAAATTATTTTCATAGATAAGAGTAAAATATTTAATTTGAGAAATATAAGAATACATAATATAAAGAATAAAAGTATCAAAAAAATTATAATTATAATTTTTATTGGCAATATAAATATTAAAGAAAAGGTGACATAATAGCTATACTAGCTAAAACATATATGACCATTGGAAAATATTAAAATAAACAGTTTATTTAAGAAATTACAAGACAAATCCAAATAATAAGACTGATCGGTTTACGGTTCAATCGGTTGAACCGGCGGGTGTGCTCTTTGAAAACCAAGGAAAAAAACACATGAATAAACAAATAAAACAAAAACCTCTTTCTTCTCCTACTTTCCTTCTCAGTCTCCTTCCTTCCCCTTTCCCTCGCTCTCTTTTCCCGCCGTTTTGGACATTTATAATTTGCCAATAATGCCTATTGATTCTCTTTTGTTAACCAGAAAATTATCTATCTTGAAGAGATCGCTGGCATGGTTTGTTCAAATTAGGAATTGAACAAATTATTTATAATTGGAAAGAAGAGAATGTTATTTTCGCTAATTTTGCATTGGATTCTTTGTAAGTCTTTATTTCTTAATCTTCCGCTTCAGTATTGGCATTTGTGAATTTTCTTCATTGATTTATTGAATGGGCTTTCTGTCCATATATTTTGTTCTCAATTCTTATAGCTTATCATCACCGAGTTTCATCTTGTTGTTGTTGTTTTCTTTTTCATTTTCTTTGTTTTATATATATAAGGAAATGGGAAGTAAAAAATATGCCATTTGACTTGCTTGTTATATCATATTTGCCTCTTTTGCTTTACTGTTATTGAATGACTTGATGTTTTCTAAGAGTAAAATATCAAAGTCTAGTGTCTTCAGATCTTGGGTTATGTTTCACAAGAAGAAAGATTTGGCATAAAGCTTTTCAATAGTATAGCTTTTTCTTACAAGCATTAAGAGGTTTATGCTTGTAATACACTAACAATCATGGTACAAAAATTCAACTCAAATATGTGCGGACTCAAAATTTGAATTTATACAAGCTTCTTATATACACACTTCAAACCTCAAACCCTAATGGTATAATCAACACATCAACTGAGAACAAGTGATTCAGCAAATGGGTTTTTTGTATCTTAGCTGCCTGCCATTGAGCTGTTTTAACTGCTGGGGTTTCACCTATAAATTTTTTGGGCTTCATTTTGGTGATTGTTGCTTTGAGTGAGAAGACTTGCCAGTAATGGCTTTCTTCACCTTTGAAATTGAATGCTTCACCTTTGATCCAACGCCGGATAGTAGATTATGTGATTTTTTTTGTACGTGCACAACCTTAAGATCTATATCTCTTGATTCTTCTACAATTACAAGTGCATCAGAGCCTGAGTCATTCTTTTTTTGCTCATCTCCTTCCTCTTCCTCTTCTTCGTCTGATTTTGCCTTTTCTGTTTGTTCAATCTGTTTTGCAACTTCCACTTCTTCTTTGATTTCTGCTGGTTCTTTTTCTTCTGTCAATTCTCCAGCTACTTGCTTTTCTCTTGTGGATCTCTGCATCATGTCAAATAATGAAAGCTTGGCTGAATCCTTTGATGTGTTCTCCTGCATCGCTTTTCCATCTTTCTCATCCTCTATATTTTCTGCTCTATGTTCAAGTCTTCTTGCTTCTGAATTGACAACTGTAGCATAAGCCGGCTGTGAGCCTCCTACTTCAGTAACTTGTGTGGTTTCCACAACCAGCCCTTGTAGCACCCGTAGAAGGTCTTTCTTTCTACTCGAAATCGTTGTCTCTGGTTCTGCTTCTCTCGATATGTGGTTTAAAGTATCATCAGAGGGTTTCTCTCCCTGATGAATGTTCAGAGTGGTCTCAGTGGTTTCTGCAAGGTCTGCTGATCTTTTTTTTGATATCTCAATGGCCAATTCCTGATAAGATAAAAAAGTGAAGACGTTTAGCTGAAATTTCGAGTGTAATAGTTTTATTTATCTATTTTAAATTTTGGTTTTATTTGGTTCTGCAGAAGAGCAAGCAAGATGAGAAAACATTTCAGAGAACTTGGAAATGGAATGTTCTCTTAAGAATTTTCTTTTCCTCATCTTTTCTGCAGCATGAATGGATTTTTAAGTTATGCTTTCTGTTTGTTTTCAAGATATTTCAAGTTTATGATGAGGCTTGTTCATTTTCTTGAATTAATTTCTCTAAGGAAAATCTAGAACAATTGATTGACATCTCATGACAGAAGAGATCTTGTCTACATGAATTTCAGTAGAGATGGAGCTTTGAAAATAAATTTATGTAATTTGTTAGCTGTTTCATCTTTCTTATGAAGATTTATGGGCAAGGCTGCCCACTTTTTTCTTTTCTTTTTTTTTTTCCTTTTGTGGGAAGGTGGGGGGATGCGGGCGTGGTTAAGGGAATTGCTAAATGCAATCTAACCTTTCCTATTGCAGTTGTAGCTTCTATTTTGACTTCTTCAGATCTTGTCTCATCAGCCTGATTTGCAATGTCTGATTTCCTACCCTCCTCAGCATTTTCACTCCCTGTTTCTTCAAGAAAATGTTCTTTGATAGTCTTGTTTTCAGCAACAGCTTCGTGAAGGTTCTCAACTGTTCCTTTTTCTGTGCTGATCTCTTTTTCAATTGTTTCACTTGCATCAGTCTTTCCAATTTCCTTGAATAACTGTATTTTGGATAAAGGCGTCAAACTTATAGTTTAAGAGTTTGTAAACTAAATATAAATAAAGATCTGTACTTGTATTCTTACCGCTTCATCTTGTATTTCAGTTGCTAACATGTTTTCTCCTTCATTTTCTTCTTCCTTTATCTCATGTTCTTGGTGGACATCCTTACCTTTTTTTTCACTTGAGACACTGTAAGCAACAGTTTGGTGTAGGTTCTCAACTGTTCCTTTTTCTGTGCTGATATGTTTTTCAATGGTCTCACTTGCATCAGTCTTTTCAATTTCCTTGCACGACTGAATTTTAGACAGTGGCTTCAACTATTAATGAAGAAGATGAAAAACGAAAATATATATAAAGTTCAAAAATTATAAGTCTTACCACTTCATTTTGAATTTCCTTTGCTAACATCTTATCTCCTTGACTTTCTTCACCCTTTGTCTCATGTCCTTGGTGGATCTCTTTAGCTGCTTCTTCTCTCAAGATATTCTCAACAGCTGGGTGAAGATTCTCAACTATTTCTTTTTCTGTGATGATTTGTTTTTCAATCTTCTCACTTGCATCAGCGTTTTCAATTTCCTCATATAACTGCATTTTAGATAAACGTTTCAACGGTATGTTAATGAAGAAGCGGGAAGTAAATATAAATGAAGTTTACTCTTATGAATTTCCTCTTGTAACACCTTATCTCCTTGACATTGTTCACCCTTTATCTCATGTTGTTGGATCTTTTTAGCTACTGCTGCTTCACTTGAGATACTGTCAACAAAAACATGGTGAAGATTCTCCAACGTTTCTTTTCCTTTGCTAATCTGTTCTTCAAGTGTCTCAGTTGCAATACTCTTTTCTATTTCCTTGCATGACTGTATATTAGATACAGGGATCAGTTTTACAGTAATGAAGAATTTAGAAATAAGTAAACAAAGTTCAGTATTAGATAATTTTACCTCTTCGATTTGTGTTTGCTTTGCTAACATCTTATCTCCTAGACTTGCTTCACCCTTTATCTCCTGTTCCTGGGAGCTCTCTCTAGCTGCTCCTTCACCAAGGATTATTTCCTGACAGTTCCTGGCCTCATGCTTTTCTTCTGTCATCTGTGTTTTTTTCCCATTTTAGTTAGCAGTTTACCATCAGCAAAGCAAAGGAAAATGGAGGAAGCAAGAAAGAGCATGAAATACTGAAAGTTCGGTTTTATTCTCTATCTGACCTGTTCATTTGTGATTTCATCATGCATGATTTCAGTTGCAATAGTTTTTTCTCTCAGATTTTCTTCAGTTATCAAATCCATAGTTGCTGCCTCTGAATACTCTTCCTTGATTTCAGCTTCTTCAGATTGCATGATGACTTCATGACCATTAACTTCTGACAAATATTCAGAAGCTTCTTCACTTGTTATAGTGTTCAGATTGGAGGTTTTTTCAAATGGTTCTGTTATTTCTAAGGTTTCCCCACTTTCTGGGGGAGGTTCTTCATCTCTTATCTTATTGTCATGTTCAGGCTGCAATTTTAAAATTTCATCTGGTGTCCCAACTGCTGCCTCATGTATTTCCTCTGGAATCTCCAATGTATTGTCAAATTGAAACTCTGATTGAGGGGGTTTGAGCTCCTTAAGCTTTTCCTTTTGTATTGATGCTTTTTTGATCGTGTTTGCTGCATTTTCTAGCACTTCCATGTTAATGATATTTTCTTCCATGCTCTCAGCGGGAGTTGAAATGCCATGCTCATGGTCTTTTAAAAGAGATCCAGTTGGTGGTGTCTCATTTTGCTCTTTTTCTTTCTCTGTTGTTAGAGTCTGATTGGAAGTAATTTCATCTATTTTTGCTTCGGTGTGGTCTTGAGAACTGGTATTAAGTACTAATTCAGAAATTTCTATAATTTCTTTAGTGCCCTCTATAGCCCCATCTTTTCTCTCATGTATTTCATTCAGATGCTCCATCTGTGCATCTTTACCAAGTTGAGACTCCAGTAGGGAGAATTCAAGCTCCTCAGGATCTCCCTTTAGGAGGATCTCTTTTGTTCCTTTTGATTTATATTCCAGCACCTCCATTTCCTTCCTGTTCTCTTCTATGCTCTCAATTTTGTCTGAAATTCTAACCGCTCGTTCTTTTGAGAGCAGTGCAGAAACCAGCGTCTGCTTCTGTGCTTCTAATTTTTCCGCAGGATTGGTCTGTATAGAACTAATTCCATCTTCTCTGATTGCTCTGTTATCTTCTGCATTAGAATGTGATTTGGATTCAGAAGCTTCTTTCTTTTGTTCAATTTCTACTGAAGTCCCACTCACTGCTTTTGGTTCTTCCTTTGGACCCTCTTTCATGTCTTCATTCAGTTCAAGGTCTAATTGGGAGACCTTGAACTCCACAGATGCTTCCTTTTGCAAGTGAACTTCTTCAGTTGTTTTTGGTTCATCTTCAAGCAACACTTCCTTTATATTCTCTTCCATTTTCTCAGTTGTAGTTGAGCTCCCAAGTTCATGTCCCTTGGAAAGTAATGGAAAAGGTTCTGTTTGATGTAGCTCTTCTGATTTCTCCTCTTGCAGAGTATGATCATTTGCAACTTCATCTTCTGTAGCTGCTTCGAGGTTGTGACAGCTAGACGTCGTTGCTGTTTTAGAAACTTCCTTTAATTCTTCCTTAAATTCATCTCTCTTTTCATGCTCTTGATTTGAACTGTTTGGCATGCTTTCCTTGATGTGAAGCTCTAGTTGTGAAACTTCAACCTCCCTGGAATCTTCATGTTGCAAGCATCTCTCTTCTGTTGTTTTTAACGCAGATGATTTCTCTGAAGCTTCATCCTTTGTTATTATCACTTTCTCTATGTTCTCCTCTACATTCTCAGTTGTGGCTTTAGTTCCATAATTATCTCCTTTGCAAGGCATTGCTGGAGATTGTGTCTCATTTTCGTTTGTTATCTCTTTGGGGAGAGTTTCATATGTAGCGGTTTCAGTTCCAGTAACCAGTGCATAATCCTGAGACTCGTTTACTATTTCAGAAGCTTCTTTGATTTCTTCTCTTATTTCACCTGTGTGCAGTTCTTCCTTATCATCATTTCTGGATTCATAAGCCAAGGAGTTCTCTTCAATTGCTATGCTTTCCTGTTGAGTTGCTTCAGGTTCATCTGCATGTGGACTGCTCTTATTTGAGGGGATGTTAGTATCCTGCGCTGGCTTATCTTTCATTGGAACTTCCTGCAAGTTGGGCTCAACTGTTTCCTCCATCACAGTTTTTGCTTTTATCTTGTCATAACAGCTATCTGCATTCTCTGTGATCTCCTCCTTAATCTTTTCTTCTGACTCATTAATTGATGCACTGGTTGACAGACCTATAAACTTATCACTACCTTCATCTTCCACTGTTCTTTCTTCATTTTCTTCTGTAACTGATGCCTCATTTTCCAATGTTTGTGCTGCTTCAACCTCTGCATTTTCTTTTTCTTCCTCTTTATTGGAGTCTGTTGCTGCAAGGTATTCAATGGATATGGAGCTGAATTCTTCCACCTGGTTAAGATTAAGATTGAAAAATGTTTATGGTAGAAAACAAAGTGGTGGAATATCCAAAATATATCAAATAGTAGTATGTTAAGCTGACCTCATCGGTTCTTTCATTTTCAGTGGATATAGTGTGGAGTTGCTTTATATCATTCTCTTCCTTGTCAAAGTGTTTGACCATTTCATCATCATCAGGTTTCTCAACTTCTTTGCACATCTGACAAAGAAACATACAATCAAAAACTGAACCTCGGAGATGTTCAGGGGAAGTTACTTATGCTTAACAAGTAGTTTATTTTCTGACCTCTTCAGTTAAGATGGCAGCTTTTACAGTCTTGTATGCATCCTGTGTTTCTTTAAGATCTGCAACCCCCAATGGCTCAGGTTTCTTTTTTGGATCTTGCTGAATTTCTTGAGATTCTTCATATCTTAGTTTGGCAGGTTCGGAAATCCTGTTTTCCTCAACTATATTTTGGTTGGTTTCACAGACTGTTTCATTGCTTTCATCTCTTGTCAATATTCCAAAAGCACAATCAAACGAATTCTGTCGAATATTAATAATTGTTAGAAGGCTAAATGTGGTCAAAAAAAAAAAAAAAAAAAAATCTGTTATAGTTTGATCTCTTAATTTTAATATTGTTAGATGAACTACTAATTTAGTAAACAGAAATTATTTCAACAATGACTAAATTGAACAGAAAGCAGATGATAAGAGTAATTGAATTGAAAGAGAAATAAGAAGAAGAGAAAGAAGAAAAGAGAGAAATATTAGAAAGTTCTTATTGATAGCACAGAAATTCCAGAAAAGTTCTACAATTACAATTGAAATGACTTTTGTATCAAAATTATACTAATTCCAGAAGAATCTAACAACAAATTGTTATTCAGTCAAACCATTCTTCTCAAAACACATTTCATTAACTCCTCAGCACTTATCAAAATGCTCCATATCTTTCAACTAAACACATGCACATTTTATACTAGTTGCATTTCATATCAGTACGCTTCCCATAGAATTATCCTTTTCTAAAGGATCAAATTCTCAAGTAGTGTCAGCTGGGGATTAGTGTTTCCAATGCACCAGCAACTGAGTGGCAGCTTGATTGTTTCTCTTCACGGTACATATGTCCAAAATGGCCCGATGATGGGGTGCTTGTATCGGTGGTGCAGGAGGCAATTGAAAAGATGAAGGTAATAGTTTTATGAGCATAATATTTAAGCAAGGAGACATGAAAGGCATCGTGCAATTTGTATGCATCTTTCCCCACACGATCAAATACTTATAAGGCCCACAATACCTGAAGTGAAGCAATTGGGGGCTTTTACAAAAACGGTGTTTTGCAAAAAAACTACTTACTAAAATGGCATTCTGTAAAAAATATTTATAAGAATAGTGTTCTGTTGACATGTCAAAGGCATTTGTCCCGGTCATAGTATAACAATGCATTTGTTACGCTATGACTGGAACAAAATCAATAAATTTTAATTTGTTTTAATGTTGTGCAGCAACTTTACAGACCAATATTTTCTCTTCTCTCTCCATGTTGAATGTTACACTATGAGTGAAAGAATGTCACAATGTTAAAAGGAATATATTATATGCCAAGTAAGGTATCAAAGTAAGATTAAAATTCTCACAATAAAAGGACATATTATAGTGTAACAATTTAAAAAATTAAAAGAGATTTTTAGAATCGCTCATTGAATAAAAAATGACACAAGGGAATAAAAATGAGTCAAGGAATGAAATCATGCAAGGAATCTCATGCGTAAATTATCTTTACAATTGTTACATTATTAGTAGAACAATAGATATTTCATAACTCCAGTGAAAGTTTTATATAAAGCCTCTCCAACCAGTGGCGGAGCCACATATATTTTAGAGGGTGCACATGCACCCCTAGACTTGAAAATTTTTTATAAGCAACTATTAATAAAAGTGAACTCCGTAAATTATCATATTTATAATCTGTGAACCTCTTAAATTAGTAGGAGTGCCTTTTTAAATATATAAAAAATTGAGTTGATGTTTTCAAGAGACAAGAGTTAGTTGAAACCAGGAGACATTGTTTATCCATTAGTGTATTCACTTATTAAGTTGTCATTAGTTTTACCTGTTGCCATTGTAGAAACATCATTTTCTACAATGAAGATTGTGAGGAAGTGGTTTTGTAATTGAATATAAAATACTTTGATGAATGATTGTTTAGTCATTTATATAGAAGAGATATATTTAATAGTATTGACAATGAGCTAATTATTGAGCGGTTTCAAAATATGAAATTATGTAGAGGAGAAATGTGATTTTCTTTAAAAAAAATAATATAATTGTTTTTTTTAAAAAATCATATAATTGTTTTTTCTTTTTTGTGTTATTAATGGAAATGATAGATTTTTATTACATAATTCAATATATTTTAAAATTTCTTATACTAAAAAAAAAAAAATATTATACATTAGTCCCCTCCTTGACCATAGGGTCCTAGCTTCGCCACTATCTCCAACGTCTTATAATGCTATTCCACTGTGATGCATGATTTTGTTAATTTTTTTTATCTGCTATCTTTAGAAAACAAATTATAGACTTAATATTGTCATTTTCTACAACTACTCTACTGCTCAACATATAAAAGTGTGACAAGTCAGATTTCAAGATTTATACTTTTTGGTAAGTTTATAATAGTTTTTTTTTGTTAATTTATAGTAGTTTTTTTTGTTAATTTATAGTATTAATTATTATAAATGAAATATTTGACTTCTAATATTTTGATACGAGATTTCTTTTTCCACCTGAATATATATGAAGTATTTTTTTTGTATATACTTTTTTTGTAAATTTGGCATAAGCAGGAGAAGTTTATTTTTAAGGTACACATTTTATTTACATAGAAATATCATTTTAATTTAATTATTTTAGACTAAGATATTGGTAGTTGTAATTTGATGTCCCCAAAGTTATTATTATTTTTGTTGCATATCTCTCTACACAACTTATTTATAAACTGAGTTAGAAAATATTCTAAATATAAAATTATGTTATGTTATGGAGGTTGAGTATTAAATTGTATGGAGGTTGAAAATATTCTAAATATAAAATAAAGTAAATAATAAATATGTCCAATAGTGGCCATATAAAATTAATTCGAATTGAAAAATATGTTTTGCAGGAAATGAATTCCATCATATGGTAGTGGTCACTAGAATGGCAGGATTATTTATAGTCAATTTGGATATGCCTATGATGATGATAGATCTAAGATGTTTAAAATTTCTCGAAGATTGAGATTCGGAGAGTTGGTTATGAAATTTGTGCAGGCAATTAAACTAAAGGAAGATAATGAATTTTTAGCTAAAATAATGTTTAGACAACATGCACTAGTAAATGGTGATATGCGATTTGACTTTATGGAGTTGTGAAATGATGATGATGTCTCTTTAAGGTTTGATTATATTAGTTAGTTTGTAGATATACAATGTATTCAATTTTACATTGATATTTTTTGAGGTGCTCCTTCTAGTCCTAGCAATTATGATAATGCTGATGATAGGAATGGGGATGGAGATGGAGATGGGGATAGGGATAGAGATGGTGATAATGATGGTAATATAGGTGTTGCTGGTTGTGGTGGTAGTGATGATGGCGATGATGGTAATTACAATGAAGAAGATGCAGACGAAGAGGATGACTTATGATATGATGAGGATGCTATTGATGATGATAATGAGGAAGCTACAAATTCAGTTTATCTCATCAGATGATCAAATCGCAGATTGCTTAACGAAGCCTCTAGGTCAGCTTTATTTGCAAAGCATTTTTCCAAGCTTAGCCTTTGTTGCTCTCCAACATCAGCTTGAGGGAGGCTGTTAGAGATATATATTCATATGCCGTGTAATTATCAATTATTTGTATAGTTATCATAGTTATCTCTTATTCTACCTTACTCATGTATCTATAGATACTTCAGTATACATTATGATATATATGATATTATCATTTCAAACTACTCTCTCTTATCGTTTTACATATTAGAGCTCTACCCTTAAATCTAATTTTCTTCTTCCTTTTCGTTCTTTATCCTAATTTTTATTTTCTATTAATCACCATGTCTCTCATACCTACTACAGCTGCTACCCCTATTACTCAATGTTGGCTCAAGGGTCAATTCTATCTTGAGATTTTGATGATTATGTAAATAAATTTAATATTCTGTGCTAATATTGTTTTGTGCAGATTTATTTATTTCTATACATGGAAATTAATAAAGAAGGCAAGTTCCTACAAAGTCCTAGATTAATTGAAGACTATGAAGAATAGTGTAGATTTTTTTATCTTAGGATTTTTTGTAGGATAGATAGAATATTCCTTTATAAGCACAAAAGTATTTCTTCTCTCTCAAAAATGATTTTAATTCTCTTACCTAAAAGGAGAAGATTTTGTCTTAAATATTTTTGGTAACAAAATATTTGAAAAAGATTTCTATATCTTCTATTTTTGCAAATTGTTTTATGAAGAAAGTCCAAAATCTTCTTTATTCGCTTACAGAAAAGATTTTGACTCTAAATATTTTTGGCAACAAGATCTCAGTATCTTTTGGTTTTGGAAAGTCAAAATTCTTTTTAAAGGCTAAAGATTACACTTTCTAAAACGGAATTTACATACCTTTTATAAAAGACGTCTTCCTTTTATGAAGACTGGGGTAATTCATTTTACAAGAGTAAGAGTTAATTGCTTCAATGTTTTATCACTCAAAGCTCTCTCTTAACCCCCTTATTTCTTTTCGTCTTTTTGCTTTAAGAAATATTTTTAAGAGAAAAGAAAATTTCATAACAACTTTTTTTGAAAAACAGTTATGTTCTTTAAATCTACTTTAAATCATTTTTCTAAAACTTGATTTTTGTTTTTCTTGTGCTTAATTTAGTATTTCTCTGTCTATATAGATTCTGTAATCTGTTATAGACAGGTTTTATTGAAAAACTTTTGTTATAATAGCTTAGGGTGAAAAGCCTATGTGAAAACAGGTTATCAAGCAACCTTCTCCTTTTGTGGGATTCTAATGTCTTGATTTGAGTTTCTGTTCTCTGCAAAAACAGAAAGGGTTGAGGTTGACTAGAACCTTTTGAAAAATCTAGTGGGACAAAGGGTAGATCTAGGTGTTTGATCTATTGCCGGTTGTACCTGTTGGTTATCTCTTACTTTGAAAAGAGATAACATTAGTGGAGATCTCATTAACCCCCTTATTTCTTGTTCGTCTTTGCTTTAAGAAATATTTTTAGAGAAAAGAAAATTTTCATAACAACTTTTTGAAACAGTTATTGTTCTTTAAAATCGTTTTTCTAAACTTGATTTTTTGTTTCTTGTGCTTATATTTGTATTTCTCTCTGTCTATATAGATTCTATAATCTTGTTATAGACAGGTTTTTATTTGAAAAACTTTTATATAATAGCTTTAGGTGAAAAAAGCTATGTGAAACAGGTTTATCAAGCAACCTTTCTCCTTGTGTGGATTCTAATGTCTTGATTTGAGTTCTTTCTCTGCCAAAACAGAAAGGGTTTGAGGTTGACTAGTACCTTTGAAAAAATCTAGTGGGAACAAA